TTGTTCTCTCCCATAGTAGGTTGTTGCTGATAGTGACTATCGATAGGCGTGAAGTTTATTATTTATTTGGCAATTCACAGAGATACACAAATTTTATTGGTTTCACAGCACTTCTTTTTGTCTAATTTCTTTACATTACCATAGATAACGTGGTTGCAGTCCAGTCTCCAGACTCCATAAAACCAAGTAAGTCCGTGAAGCAATTACATACAACAAATTACATATAGATTAGCACGTACGTTGATTTCAGATACTTTAATTGTGCAACACCTAATTATGTTTGTGGCAAACAAATTGTTTATCTTCACTAACCAGACTTAGTATGCTGTTATGTCCTTTCTCTAAACATTACGTTTGAGATACTTTAGAAAGATATGTGTACGAGAATTTAGGATGACTTCATATTTGTTTTCTGCAGCACATTTCCATTGGTATTTCTTTAGTTATAGAATGATAGGTCACACTGTTTGGTCGTGTTCAACATGTATCATGAAAGATAAACGACGTATTTCTCCATAAATAACACATAGTCAGAAAAGAGTTGTTATAACAGTCGCAAATCAACAGGTCTGCTGATCCGATTTAGCAACAACACTAATGGCACACTTTTACTGTTGGATTTTGTTAACCGACGAACACTTCCCTTCGCAAACAGTGAGATTGTTTATTTGGTCGCCTTGCATTGTTCATCATCTCATCAGTTATTATAGTGGAACATATGTGCATGTCACATTCTTTAATTCTCAGCAATTTCAAATATTGTTGAGAGCATACTGAAAGTTCAAATGAGGGCTGGGATAAGGCAGTTAAAGACAGGTCACTTCGTCAATCATCTGGAGTTTTCGATGACTTCTGTGAAAATATAAGTGATTCATGTATCGTAAGAATTTACTGACTGAAGGTAGAGAGGAAGATAACTGTTATATGTAGAGCTTGGATTCTTACTATACTGCATACAACTTGAGCATTCAAACGCTGGTGAGAAGGAATTCTATTTCAAACAGTGTCAAGTATGGTACAAATCTATCAGGTATTTATGGCTTTTTAGTAGAACGAAATCATCATTATAGTCATGCAATCCGCGTACAGGTGGTCTAAGCATTTGTACAATGCGGAAGCTACATGTAGAGATTTTGGAATATTCTTCCAAAACATGATTGAATGGAAGATCCTCAGCTGGGCTTCTTTGAGCTTTGAGTTTTGGTATCTCGATATTTACAGGTAGTGCGATAGTTACCGAAGAGAATGAAATTCGCTATTTACCCACAATCATTTCACGGTATATCGATAAGAATTGATAAATTTCAGTTACTTTTGAAACAAAATGAACTGGACTACCGTCGTTTAACTGCATAGTACTGTGAATGAAATGGTTTGGTCACTTAGATTAGATCATTCTGTGATTTCAAATGAGTTGTGGATGTGGTGAAGGAATTGGAACCAAAATTGAGTTCTGCTACTCTGTCATGTGATATCGATCACTCACAAAGGCTAAATGATACTCGTGTCGATACTGTTAACGTTGAACTGGCAGTGTTATCGAGTGAAATGGAAAAAGTATTTTCGTCGAAAACCTGGTTCCCATCGTTGAAGAATACACTTGAATCGGGTAATGTGAATGTGAATAGCGCGTGGATAATTGGTGAGTGAATCACCAATGCATAACAATTTTCTAGTTGATATTCACACTTGATCAATATGTACGGTGTTCAGTTGAGATAACATAGCTTGCAGTTTTCATCATTAATTAGTAAATATACTGTACTCCATTTCAGATATCGTTTCAGTGAGTGGTAAGTTCACAATAAATTCTGTAGTTTTGTGTATTGTAAAATCTGTTGAAGTCAGTGATACTGAGGAATATTGAACACAATAATCTGTCAATGTGGTGTAGGAATTTAGGAAGTGAATGATGTGTAATGATTTGTAAATGTGAGTTGTCGAATGATCTGACAGCCATTGGCCGTGGTGAGTTTTCAAATGTCTATTTATCATATAGAATAACCATGGAAGGCCAGGGTCAAGATGTACAAAATTTAAACGACATAATAGTGAAAGTATAATGGTTCTTCCTTGAGTATGATATAAATTTCTGATGTGTGGAATACAAGGTATATATATTTTCTGTCAGGATGTTGATAAACTGTGGTGTTTTCATGAACTGACGATTTCTTTTGTATTTGATGACTGTTTTAATTCGAATTCCGAATGCAATAAATTCCTTTGTGTTCATTTAGCACTTCTCGGTTAAATTGCGTTATTTCTGGGATTTATGGAATTCTGTTTCTGTGAAGTTTATATATCCATATTTAAAAACAGTTCATCTTCTTAACAAATTGTTCAATGTCCAAACGAGAATTGCAATGCTTTTAGTAGACCGACATCTTTTTCATTTAGCTAATAATTAATTTGCATCAATTTTTCATTTCATCTTTCCTGAACGTAATTCATTTGCAGTTCTCACTGATGAATATTGTTTGATCGTTTGTCAAAGTATAGATCATTGTCTTTATATTTCTCTTCTATCATTTAAGTGGTGAATTGCCTCACTCACTGCATAAACGTTATCACCGACTTGAAATATTGTAAAATGGTCATGTGTGAATGATGACATCGCCTGCAATCCTATATCATCACATCATATTACTGACCATTAGTTCTCTTTATTCCTAACATTCAGCTGGTCAGCGCAAATTACTGTAGTGCCCTGTCGCACTCAACTTGCCATACGTTTTGAATAAATCATTGATTACAAATTACGCCACTGTAAATTCCACAAATATGATTCTCCATCACTGTTTATCTATCCTGTGGTAATGTCACGAATACCATTCAGTATATGTTGGAAATCGCTTTCGAACTTTAAACGTGAATATTTGTGAAGACGTAATGAATATCACAATTCTACCGATAGTAGGTGGTCTATTAATCCTGACCAAACTGTCGGTCTTTGTGAATTTGTTGTACAGGACGGAGCATGCAACACTCAGGGCACAACCCATTAGCTTTGGCGTAAAAACGAAATACCCGTTTCAAAGTATGAATGGTAGCACTAGGTGCTAAGTATCACACAGTTAGTGGATGAACTGATCACACAGCAACTACTCACTTTCCGCACAAATTTCAGATCATTTATGCATTATAGCTGGTAACAGTTTCTGATAAAATAACTTCAACGTTAGTTTCGCACACCAACCACAAATACCTTATCACAGCTACTAACAAAAGGTGGAATTTCTGATAGAGAACAAAAGTTCATCAAAATCATTACCTGATCTACATATCTTTTCCACCATCTCAAACGGGGAATGTTTAGATTTGACCTGAGTTCACAAACTGTTAAAATTAAAATAACACTCCGTGTCCATAAATTCGTTTTACAATATAAAGGATAAATAACCTGTGGAAGACAATAAACAATAAGATATGTCATCACTTTGCAATTGAATGATAATCATTAATACTATTGGAAGTTTGACTGAACAAACATCCACATTCTACAATCATCACAGATGTCTAACATTAATAATCACTCCACCACTCAAGCTCACGAGTTGAATCGAGCATGTCAACAATTTGATCTAGGTGAGATAACCCAGAACTAGATCAAACTCTCAATTTCTGCCAGCCGATAGCAGTCACAATCTGGTTCTGAAATCCGTACTCATATTTACGCACTCATGGAGCAGTGCAAACCCCTAATACTTCACGTTGTGACGGTGGAGTTCCAATTTGTTCTAAATGTAGACCGTGACAAGAAGGTAACTGAAAAGAAAAGTGGTGCACGAACAGTGAATCAATTCGCCCTGAAGGCTGAACATCAAGATAATATAAAAGAAGATTCTCGGTTTAGTGGTGGTCGACATAATGGAAAATATGCACATATAAAACTGATAAGTGCAACAAGTGTCCGTGAAGCGATCATATAATAATGACGGGATCGATGTCCAATTTCTCAGTAATCCTTTTGTCATTTCGACCTTGAATTAAGGAATTTTCCAGCCCAATATATACTAATTTCATCTTCAATATTCTCACTGATCACTTTAAATACATGTGGAGTGGTTTTGTCACATATGAGAATGTTTCGTTTATATTACAATTATCACAACGACTTGGCATGGTGCACGGAATCAGGCTAAAATAATACAATGGGTAATGCTCGACGTGCAAAATGTCGTTGCATTTTATTCTTAATGTAAACTGCGAAACCTATGACACTAATTAGCTTGAAATCTTTACTATTTTTAGCGGGAGAGAATTGCATGCTGACACATTGAGAATACGGAGATGCTGATGAATGTTGCACATCCAATTGTTTTATGCCGATAAATTGGTACAGAGATCTTCACATTCATTGCCATTAACTGTACCACGGAAATAGAAACGCATAATGATTAAGAAGTTTACTTGCACTATGAATGGACTGAGCGTACATCACGGTGAGCCTGAATGAATTTAATCTTGGAACATTTGTTTTCTTACATCAACATAAATTCATTTGTATGAGACTCTCACGCCATCATACTTTTTCAACGCCTTTGAGGATATTTCAGCCGAAAACTCAATAGGCGCATACGCAAGTTGACAGGGAATGTGTGGTCAGGATGGAGTGAAATTAAACGGTGTGGTAAATGTTTTAATTTCAGGTTCTCAAGTAACACTGATGTGTGATAATGAAAGGGGTGACCAAAAGATGAAAAATAGTTTGATGAATTTATCAAAGATTGAATGACTATTTGTTTGGACTCTATCTCGTTACACGTGATGGTTACTTTTATTGATTTTTTGAATGATGGTCTCATTCACATTGGTTTTGACCTTGGTATAGTCTAGAAAATGTGGCATCGACCAATCGGATAACTCCTATCCTTACACTTGCTAATCACATACGTTTTAATTGTGACTAGAATGACACGTTATCATTGTATTTAAACAGGAATCAGGACGTTAACTGTGTAATTGATTTCAGAAAACTTGGTGAATTACAGAGAGCAAATATGTTTAGATCACAAGTAGCAGTTGTTTGGTTTCTCTTCTTTTTCCTGGTCTGCAATGCGGGTAAGTTTGAAACTTTCTAAATGTGCGTTTCCATCTTTACTTTCATTCATATGACGATGTACTTGACATAAATAATCACTCAGTAATAATGTCGTTAGTCAGTATACGGTGATGAACCGTTTTAAATATTTTGATTGACCAGGAAGTCGCCCGTCATTAGTGTGCGTTGACGAGCACTCTTCATGTCGTGAAAGATGTTTACACTTATTCGATCTCCACATTGAGCATTGGTTCTCCTAAAATCACAATATAATTCACCGTTGAGTATCAATCAGTATGGAATCATATTAAGTTCTGCTTCCTTATGACTAATTTCGAACAGCTCACGGGTAGTATAATAAGTCAAATGCCTTGATAGTCTACAGGCTCCAATAAAGCCTTGCCCAAGTCATTGATTGATAAATAAGAAATCATCGTTCGTGTACTGCAAGCATTTTGAAATTTGCTAACATGACGATATTAGAAAGCAATATTGTCCTGACAAAACTGCATAACATTTACCTGTATCACGTGATACAATGTGACTGCAGCATAAGTTGTAATACTTGCCTGTTTGTAATCCTTATCGAAGAACCATAAAGAAAGTATTCGTTCAACACTGTTCTGACTTACTATCAATATGAACGACTGAAGTTTTCAATAGATCCCCATTGAATGATATAAACAGTGGAAGAATGTCCTGATTGAACGCGTAGTGGAAAACGTGAATTTACTTCATATTTGTCGTCAGTAGAAGTAAAGACAGACTTTAAATCTAAACATTTAGTGAAACTTTGAAGTGAAGCTTTCATACAACCATGGTGCTCGGAAACAGATGGTTTCTGAAAAATGATAACTATGAATAATAAACGACGAAATCCTCTGCGAATTGATTATTTATGATTGTTTCTGTCCGTTATAATGAGTTGTTTCAAATCCTTAGTTCGAATCATGTGCTGACCCTTGCTAGGCTAACAGTGATGACCAGAGAACACGCAAGAAGTGATTCGTATGGAAACTCAAATTAATGAACGACAACTGTTAAACGACAAATTGTACTCGTGAACAGTTCACCAGACTGTGTCGGCACCTAGTTTTTCAGATCCTGTACCACAGCCAGTCTACACTGTTATCGTGTTATGGATTTAGGTTGCGGTCGATTTTTACCCTGTGCTAATTGTTGTGTCCTTGACTGGAAAATTAGAGAGCAGCGTACTTATCGATCGATTACAGTGACACGTAAACACTAACGAACGGCCTACAGTTCTGATTGGTCCTGCTTCCCTGTCCAGCCCAGCCGGTTGAGTCCAGAACACAAGCCACAGCCTCTGAGATATGAATCATTATATTTCAAACATACTTTGTTTATATACCAATCAAGCATACCACATCGTACCATAAAATAGAAAACAACATTTTGTACAATATTCAACAAGTGAACAGACATCGACCAATAGGAAATGTCCATTTAAAGTCCAAGGACACCATTGGACTTAACATGATAATTATTGGTCTATTCCTCTGCATCCACAACATATCGCTACGTGGTTTTCAGTGTAACGTGAACAATCTATGTGTACTTCTTGCACCGATAACAAAACCATGACGAGTTGACGGATGAACCTCCACATAACGCTGTGAACATATTCGAGTGTCATCAGTCTCATTGTAGATGAAGTTGTCAGCAGGAGAAATGAATAAATGGCACTCAATGGAAGCATACTGGACCGCACATCACATGGAATAGGATTCGATGTTTCACAGGTTTCACAGGAAAACAGACGAGACTCTGTGAATTTTGATGATCACTTGAACTCCTACTTCAATGTAAAGGAGTTTGAAGTACAGTAGATCAAATGGATCACCGTAGACGTGTTTAGTCGATTGATCAAGCAAATGTCTATTGATGTGAATATGTGTGTGCTTTCAAATGAAAGACGAGAATTAGTGATTCCAATAAATTTCGCTCACGATGTCATACGAAATCAAACAGCTAATATTATTCTGAATGATTCTTGATAAACATGCACCTAGTTCGTTCGGTGGTTGGAGTTCATTGTCAGTAATAGCTAAAATCGTTGTTCATGCTGATAGCCACTCGTCAGCAAAGTCTGTCTGAAATTTTGAAGGAAGTGTTGCATTACAGTGTGTTGGACCCCATGTAAAATAGCTCCACAATCTGTGATATCAACAGTGAGCTATTCTTCGACAGATGGACTCTTGTCTATAGGCGAATTCCTTGTTGACTGAATACTGTTTAGTGGCTAATCCACTCAATGTTAAATGCCGTTAATACCATTATGTAAACGTGATGCTAGTCACTACTCACTGACCAATCACTTGTTGTGTCTACTCGTCAGTAAACTGATGAAGCGTTTCTCAATTCATGTGAATGTCTCATCTTCATAATTTCCATTGTTTTTTGTTGACGTCACAGGAGATCAAGAAGTGGCAGCTGAGACTCTTGAGTTTTCAAGTAAAGGTAAGTTATTTGAACGGTAATATCATTTGATGTACTGCGTTTACATCACGTTTTGTATAAAATGTTAAACGAAAGTCGTTCATTTTTGTGTATATTGAATGAAATATGCAGTACAATTTGGTTTGATGTTCAGACGCGACACATTTTGATAATTAGGAATATTTGAATTATAGTACGAACTAAGAATCCCAGAAATAACGCAATCGGATCAAGTAGTAGTATATAGGCACGAAGGAATGCACTGTATTTCGAATTCGAAACCAAACATTCAACAGTTACAAAGGAATCATTATTTCATTCAAACACCACACACATATTCTTATCTTACATCCGAACTACAGTGAATATCGTCATGCGCCACGGTTTTCATGGTTTCAGTATGGAAGAAATTGAAGTGACCATCCCAGTTCTGTATGGTTTGATTTATTGTTGATTCTTGCTTTAGCTCATTCACTTAGTAACTCCTAATCAATTATCGTATATTGGATCACTCTGTCTAGACACGTTCGAAATGCTTCATGTACGATTTCCTGCGCAATAGTCGTGCTGCTGTTTTGAATGACTTTCGTGTTTAAATTGTGCCTGCATCTAATATATTTGAATTCCGGTTTTTTTAGATATCGTTGTAAATACACTATCTGTCCGTGTTAAGGAGTGGGATGAAATAATTGAAAATAAGGGAGTAGCACAATCCCTAAAGCTTCTGGATAGATATTGTGCAAACGTAAGTCTAGAAGCTCTCACTCGAGTTCTAAAACACGAAGAGACGTGTATGACAACATTATTCGGGTCATTTTACTTCATATATATATATATATATATATATATATATATATATATATATATATATATATATTGACTTCATGAATCTCCTAGTGAACCTACTCATTGATCTAGTGGAGACGCAGCAATGAATGTTAGATGATGTGTTGCAATGGGACGTGTACATTTATGTGAAAATTTGTAAAATACGCAAAAATGAAATTTTGTTGCTAAAGGGTAAATGTCAGATATCACTATGATTCAGTGTTAGGTTATTGTAAGTCTGAGTAACCATTTTTATAATAAAGTAAATAGACATAAATTTTCAGATATGAATAATCATGTGAATATCAATAAAACTTACATTTCGAGTTAGAATGATCACTTTCACAAAACCTTCAACGAAATAATCTGACGGATAGTGTTTTCATGTGATTTCTTAAAGGTTGTGGATGTGGTGAAGGAATTGGAACCAAAATTGAGTTCTGCTACTTTGTCATGTGATATCGATCACTCACAAAGGCCAAATGATACTCGTGTCGATACTGTTAACGTTGAACTGGCAGTGTTATCGAGTGAAATGGAAAAAGTATTTTCGTCGAAAACCTGGTTCCCATCGTTGAAGAATACACTTGAATCGGGTAATGTGAATGTGAATAGCGCGTGGATAATTGGTGAGTGAATCACCAATGCATAACAATTTTCTAGTTGATATCCACACTTGATCAATATGTACGGTGTTCAGTTGAGATAACATAGCTTGCAGTTTTCATCATTAAGTAGTAAATATACTGTACTCCATTTCAGATATCGTTTCAGTGAGTGGTAAGTTCACAATAAATTCTGTAGTTTTGTGTATTGTAAAATCTGTTGAAGTCAGTGATACTGAGGAATATTGAACACAATAATCTGTCAATGTGGTGTAGGAATTTAGGAAGTGAATGATGTGTAATGATTTGTAAATGTGAGTTGTCGAATGAGTGAAAGAGTCAGTCAGTTGTCATCAACCACAAAATAATATTTATTGTGAATTTTAGATCCAACAGCCGTTGGCCGTGGTAAGTTGTCCTATATATGTGGCTGTTGATTTGAATATGGATTTCCTGTTATATCTTGATGGCCTCAATAGAAGTGTGTGTGAATGTGACAAGATGACATGGGTTGATTGCTTTGTTTAGGACTGTTATTTTAACTGAATGACGGGTACCAGTCGAAAGTAATATCGGAGATGCAATTGTAGTGAAATTATACAGTTTATTGAATGTGTCCGGGAACGTTCGACTCGTTAAGGCCGTTTTAATTGATCGCCATAATTTGCTCAGTCACACGCTCCTGACTTTGAGATGCTTGAAAATATTCGACACACTAACACACTCGCATTAAATTCACACAGCGGAACCAAGTGATTGATAGGAAATATCATTCAACTGATATGCTGTGTATCACTCCGCTGTATTTCAGTGATTTTCTCACCATAGACAAGGTCACGTGTTCTTCGGCACGTTGGTTTCGATCTGTTCAGCTCAACAGTGTCCAGATCGCCAATCGTGTTGAGAATTCGATCATAAACTTTGATAACCATTCCTGCACCAGTTTCACGTCCTCTTCACAACGAACGTCACAATGGTTTGACCGAGTATGAGATCATCAGTGAATTTAAATAATGTCTGAACAATCTCACTGTTTTTATCACAGATTCCTCGGTCAACACGAAAATCGATATGTTGTTCAGCTCACAGTACCCACTGAATAGAGTGATTTGATTAACAAATCGATTTATGAAATATTTTGTTGAGAGTGAATATTCGTTTTACAAACTATAATTAATGAAATGTGTACATTTTAGAATCCTATCTGTTCCAAAAAACCTATCCTACGAGTTCAGTAACTACTGATAAGTGCCCTGAGGTGAGTTTCTATCTGGTCATGCATTATAAAGTTTTCTTGAATCCATTGCGTTTCGTGTCGATCGATCAAGTAGCAGTCGCGTGTTGATTTAAAGAGTTTACAGATTTACGTTGATTGCATTAGTTTTGATATCTTCGTACCGTTAATCCCACAATTTCAACGAGAAGTCCGTCGATATTCGTTTTGATGACATTTGTTGATGAATATATTAATTTCTTGATATTCTGTAGACCTGAATGTCAACCATCAATGTTATGTGGCTTTCGTATCATTTGTTATCTGCTTTCATCAGAATTTATATAAAAACAATTTCATAGAATAATGAGATCAAGTTCCCACAGGGTTCTTATATGACACATACCGATGAGTACACAATACCTAATTGTTTAAAACAGACATTGTTTCAGTAGATTACAGGATAAATATTAATGCCATAAAACACTGTCTCAATATTTTGATTTCAGCTGAAGATCATTATGTCGAATATATATACTGGATTCGGTGAAACAATGACGAACTGCTTCTTCGATGTGTCGACAGGAGATATAAGCACGAGAATGGACTACCGAGAACTTATGAAGAAAGGGTATTGCTGTTCAGAGTATAATATATATAGAAGAATTTACTGGTCTATTTATGAATTACTATACAAGGGTGAAAGCGGTGAGTGATTCTGCAAAACAGGTAAAGAATACAAAGTTATTATCGAAAAATGTTTAGGGCAAGTGTACGCAAGTGTCGCTGAAAAATGTCGCGACAGATGGAAATAATGCAGACGAGTTTAGGCACAAAAGCAAACACGCATACAAATGCACTCAGGCATTAGTACACAAGAACATAAGGCGACCAGTGAATGAAATTTCAGACATCAGTTCTAGACCATTTCATTACTCTGTTGGTTTATTTTTCGATGTCTTCCTGTCATTTAGATGGAAAAACGACCATACAGAGCGAAATATCTCAACCTGGAACAACAACTGATAAAGTAGAAACGTCTCTCGGTATGTTTGATTGACTGATGTTTTCTCTCTCCCCCTTTGATTTGCAAATTGAGGATCTTGAGACATGTCATTTTTTGTTCATGTAGTCAGTGAATGACTTTTCAGTCATCAGTTTTAGACTTTTTCATTGTTCCATTGAACTTACCCTGTCGGTTTATTTCTCGATGCCTTCCTGTCATTTAGGTGAGAAGTCGACCATACAGAGCGAAGTATCTCAACCTGAGAAAAAGATTGACGAGGAACAAACGTCTCTCGGTATGTTTGCACAATTGATGATTTCTATCTCTCCCTGATTAGTAAATCAACGGTCTTGAGACATGTCACTTTTGATCTTCATATGCTGGTGATCATTGTCTCCAGCAACGTTTTTCCACAGCTTTGTTTCACTTTTCTGATTCATTGGCATATGTTTTGTGCTTGTTCGTAACACCTGTTTCTTTATGCTCGATATCATAATGTCGGTTTACATCATGGTGTAAATTACTTCTTGTTGAATTTTTTCATCAAAATTATTTTCAAGGTTTGCCGTCAATTATACGAATCTCTGAATTAGAAAACTTGAAACTGAACTATACAGGTAACATTAAAAATTGATCATACTGGAACAACTTCTTTGCATTTTATCACGAATATATTCGAGCACATTTTTCTACTTGCGATTTGTCAGTTGTCTGTATCATGATTAAGATTATGTGGATGTAGTGCACACGTGTTGCACATATGCAACAACACTAATGTGATCTCAGCGAAACTATCAACAACGGGATTATTCTTCTGAATGATCTCATTTGCACAAATCCGAGGTGTTAGCGAACCTGACATTATCTGTCTCCTTATTTCGATTGTATCTCGCTTCGACCTAACTCTTGGTTCTATTTTCGCAGATGAATATTTCGATTGATTGAAAGTCTGTAATGATTTCGATGTGTTTGTTAATTGCTGATTTAGTTAGGTGTCAAGTTAAGGAGAGATCCTATGGTGTACGTAGTATCCTTTCTATCAAGGATTTCAATATCTTTCCAGTCAAACGAGTATTCACAAATGTTCTTATGCAATGATCCAAACGAAGATTTATCATAACGTTTTACTGTTAATTGATGTTCATGAGGACAAACATCAAGGAGGCATCAACGTTGTTCTATATTGAGATTTTCGTCATTAGAACGGTCTATTTAGTAAATGACTTTTGGTTGTTTGCTACAGTCGTTTCGTACTGTGGTTTGCCAACGATTGCTAATAGTGTAATTGCTGGCACTTCAACTACATCTGTCAGCTGTCATACGACGCAGTCGTTAATCCTTATTTCTACCGACCTGTTTGCCATGTTATTTGGGTATGCTTACATAAATGCTGAAGTATGTGATGATAATGTTGCTTGTGGAAACAATGGGAAAAGGGTGATCGATCAAATCGACCAGTCAAATCAACTCCTGTAAGCCCCTTCAACGAGATGCAAACCACCTACTCCACCTCCAACTTTCTTTTTCCTAAAGTGATAATTTAATTGTACTGCGTATTTGTTTCAGTAGGAACAGGCAAACATAATGATAGCCGTCTATTTTAACTTTGTTTGAAGTTTATTTATATCAATTTATCACTTCAATTTTTCTAACCACAATTCATTTGCAGTTCTCACTGATGAATATTACTTAATTGTCTTTCAAAATATAGGTCACTGTATCTATGCTTCGTTTCCATCTGGTAAGTTGTGAAATATGTCGCTCAATGCATAAACGTTACCATGGAATTCACATGTTGTACAATGATCACATGGGACTGATGACATTGCCCGTAATCATTTACCGTCATGTAACATTACTCACCATTACTCCTGATTATTCTTGACTTTCAGTTTGTTATGGCAAATTATTGTGGTGCCCTATTGCACTGGAATTGTCTACCTTATAAGTAGATCACTCATTACAACTTATATTACTGTGGATTCCACAAATATGATTCTCGGTGATTGTTTATCTAGATTGCGTAAATGTTAAGGATACCTGTCAGTATCTGTTGAAAATCGCTTTTCAATTTCAAAGTGGATGCAAGTGAATACGTAATGGATATCGTATTCTTCCTTTCCTCCCTTGATACTAGTAGCCTGATCAAACCGTGAGTCTCTGTGAAAGTATTGTGAGTGAGAAAAACAATCGAAACACAGAACACGACCTATTAGATTTGTATGAAACCGGAACAGCATAAACATAGCAAGCAGTAGAAATACCTTATCCATGTGATAATGTCTACATCGTGGAACCAGACCACCAACCACAAATACTTCAGCATAACTTGTAGAAATACAAGAAACCTTCGAATCGGAGTCAGGTTCACTCTCAAGTCGAGGTATACAGACTCTCTTAATTCACAACGACAAGACCATGTGGCGTCGGTTTTCAATATACAGATGGGATAACCTGTTTAGGACGTCAATGAAATAACTTTTCAAACAAAATCTGTTAACAATTTGCAATATTGGTGATTTACTCTCAATAAACCATCCACTTACTGTTGATATTCTCTGAATCACCAAAAACAGACTGACAGTTTGTTATGCCCTTTTCAAGCTGGTCTCACCAACTCACTTTCACATCAAGTGCTGTCAAATCAAGTCGACAATATTGAGACTGTAAACAAAAGTGCTGTATACAGACGTCTGTTATCAATGTAATTCGAATATGTGACGACCGTTACAGGGTCTAACGCATTTCCATTCCTTAAGGTCACGACTTATATTCATGAAACGCGAATCAATTTGTTGGCTAACGAAATCACGATTTCAACAGCCGATAGACTCATGCAAATATTTATCGGTTGAGGTGGCCTCATCAAACAACAATACGGCAATAGGGAGTATGCATGTCAACAAAATTGTTACGGTTGTAGTTTCATTTCATGATTTTCACTGTTCACTTGATTTACAAATTAACAGATCAGTCAAATGAAGAGTGACAAGTGAGTAGTGAATCGTTGTGTTACAGTTGGATCTTAACAAATATCTGTGTTTTTAAATTTATCAGTAGTTTCAAGTTTCGTTGAAAAGTGATGGTAGATAGACAGTTCATTTAAACATGACCATGTAGCATGGTAGTTACTGTTCATAAAATGCTTTCAATTTCGAGTCACAGACTGTGGTTGTTGGATGAATATGGTTCGATCAAAATGTTTTATAACCATTTGTGAAAATGTTTTCAATTTGGATGTGATCAACATTCAATTGTCAACATCAATGTTACCCGTGCAAATCGGTAATTGTTCCAGAATCGCTGTATACATGTGCCCTCAATATGTGCATATTCATTCAGACGATCATAGTGAAGCAGAATATTTGTTGTAGTGTTGCACAAATTGTGATAAGACACAATTGTTGTCCACCGATCAAACACAATTGACAAATTAACGTTGAACTAACCGTCATCTAATCCCTCGACTACAATACTCATTACCATTGATTAAATTTACACCCTCCTTTTTGTTATATCATTACACATTGCAGGCTCGGTTATCAGTCTCATTCAAAAGCATATTACTACCAAGAATCATCAAAGCTTTCATACACTTTTCTTTCAGATGACCCAATCAAATCAAATTAAATAAACACTGTTTTAGTCTGTAGTAAACTTAACAATATTCTTGAATCACATTCTGTAATTTTAACACACAATACATGGAATATGGTAATTAAATTGTTGACTCTTATTATCTACATTACTTTTGAAAAGAAAACGCTGAGTATTTGTTTGCAGTGAATAATATGCATAATCACTATAACATTGTAGCAAGCGTACGTGAGTAGACAAACACGAATTGGCTTTTAGGATGTCTTGTTTGTGAGAATGATTTACTTCAAAGATATTCCACGTAAAACGACTGAGTTTCGTAAGCTTGTTCACCGAAAATCATTAAGTCGGATGTATTCAGTGGTGGTTCACATGTGCAACGAATTGAGGAAGGTTAGTTAAAATTAGCCGATGGCACATCATCCAATAGGTGAACAACATGAATTTCCTACACTTATTCATTCATGTCATGTGTGTTTTAGGAAATATCCTCGGTTAAAACTCATCAAATACCAGTTTGTAATTTCTCAAATTGTGCTTCTCAAATACAGAATCTTTCTCAATTAGCGCAAAATGCTTTGTAGGTGATTGTTGGCCTGACTTTGCTCGTCATTATTTCCTTCGATTCGGATTACATTGTTTGCAATGCTTCTTAATAACCATGCCTGTTCACAAGCGATCATTCGTCTGTCCGTGATCTCGACGACCTTCCCCATTCATGGCGAAGCTATCCGTTAACTGATTTGTGCGGACTATTCTGTATCTGATAGTCGATACAGTGAATAATCCCTAATGAATTATAGTGAATGACTGATTCCTCAAAATACACATGCTAAGTCGTGGTCATGCTCGCTTCGGTTCTCTCTATTTATTCTCTATCCATGCATTGTAGGTTTTCCGTATTTTCTTATGCTACTTGGTGATATTTGGCATCCGATACAGTTGGAATGATTACGGTACGTATGATGTGACGTATGTTGGTTTGTTGGATAAAGTTTTGGTGTGTTCACATCAACTAGAAACATTTAAAAAATGGCTATCAAGTCTGCTTTCCTCAAAGCTTGTAACAGTCGTCTCCAGGATTCCTGCATTTTCCGGATCTCTGTTCAAACTTGAAAGTTTCCATTTTTGAGCTCTCTGAGTCTGCGTTTGGATTGATACTGTTGCATAAGAAACTCCCCAACATATAACATCTTATTAGGAAATTATTAAATAATTGATAGTTAAAAGCCTTACTTCAATACGGTCGATCGCAGTAACATTAATGCTTATTAGGTGAAGAGTAATTACGTAACTCCTAGTCGGATTTTCTATTTAGGCGATTCCAACCATCCAGTAGACCTACAAATTACGTTTAAAGTCAGCCTCTACCAACGTACTGAAATCTCAACATAACTGAGTCAACATTACTTTCGAACGTAAAGTCAGAATCTGACACGCAAATGAGACGAAAATAGAACTGTTTCCTAAGACAAACGATAGGCCTAATCGCATGTTATTGTGCAGAAACAACATTGCCTAGTGTACAGTTTTCGATTGTGAGAGCGTGATAATCTGACACTTAGCAAATTTTTTAATCTAATGATATTTATCTGTCGCTGGCTCGATCATTCATCAGGTAACCATGGATATATGGAATTCATAAAGTTGGAAGAGCATTATGGGAGTTTGTGTTCTCTTTACAGTATGTGTTTTGATGAACCTTTCAGCTGGATATAACACAGACAGGTAAATTTTAAAACACCTGCCTGGACAATCACGTGTTATTGCTCGAAAAGTGATGGAAATTTTAGTTTATGATGCGAACAATGAATAAAGTGATGCTGAATGGACGTTTCCAAGCTCACAACATATTTTTGTGCCTCAAAGTAATATTTTTGATGAAATCGTCTATGCCTTAGAACAACAAATTTCCAAATGCTGGTTTAGAACAAAACAGAGTTCTCCGTTCACGAAGTGGAATCGGGTTGTAGTGTGGCGTCGAATCGCGGTTGACTGTGATCACCACTACAGGAAGACTACGTGCCAGTTAACCGATAAGATCCCTCGTAGGCCAAATATGAGAAGGCAGTTGGTGGCTGTAGTCGAGATTTGTTTGTTGGCGATCTCGTGGTATCGAAAGAATACCGAGATCGTTTCAGGTTATAAGTGGGATTACTGAGCATAACCGACTTCATGCAAGGTCACAAACAACGGAAGAATGTATGTATTTTGGTACAGTTAAACAAACGAGTACGGTGAAACAATCCCTGGTAAAATTGGTTATAATAATAATTGTTACCATTACACCAATCGCGTTCTCTTGATAAAAGTAGGTCACCACAGGGTAGTTCTGCTTCAAAACGTTTTACGGCCTTTAGGAAAAGGAGTTTTGCATTGTGAGAGAAGTATGTGTGCTTAAACGCGAATCGAAACACAATCACTACTCGTAGTTCTGTTTTTAAACTGAGTTGGGAATGGTTGTCGAGGTTAGTTCACGCACGTGAGAAAAGCTTGACTCTTATGCGTTAAGCTGATCAGGATAGACGTTACGTATATTCGACTGATATGAGATAATCTCACCGAAATGATTGGTAGTAACGGTCAAAGAGAGGTTCATAATATTTCTAGAATCATCGAAATATGAGGCTATTTAAAGTGCATCATCTGAGAAGGCATCAGGAGTCAAACTTATCACCTATCATGCTAGGTCTTGAATTCTCAACAGAGATTCAAGTATCATCAATAGACAGAAAACAACGTGATTAGCAGAGCAACGTGATATATTAGCGCGATGCATTCCAAATATTTGATCACACAAAAATCTGTTAAGAACATTACTATATAATAATAAAGAGTAAATTAGATAACGCTAGACAATCAAATTACAAAAAAAACAACGGAATAATTTTAATAAGAAACAGTGTGTACAAGGAAAAAACAAACAAAGAAGTTCAAATACTACAGCGTATTAAAAATCAACCACGTAGAATATGCTTAAGACGTAAAAACAAAACAGAAATGAATTCAGACGCCGTGTAAGACAGATATCAGCCCAAGAATAATGAACAAAACGTTGCACAAAATCACGGATTAATTGAAGTTGGACGTATACGACTTACGATGCATGGTCATTGGTTTAGAAATTGATCGATCGCAAGCAAGTTCGAGATTGCTGAATACCAGTGCTATGTGCACGTTCGTGCATTCATACCACTCACAATAATGTGCATATACAAATGTTAGATTTAAGTTAATTAAGGTCAATTATTTTCAGTCTCTTCCATTAGAATGTTTTCGTTAATTAACTGTAAACCATTATCAAGTTATCAATTGTCTACTGATATTCTTCCAATTGACCAATGAAAGCAACCGACATGACGAAACTAGGAACAAATGATTTATTTCTTTGAATAATCAGTATCGAATATGGATGTCTTCTACTCAAATTCATCACGTTCTTCAGGTACATTGTTTTAAACACTGTTGATTGAAAGTAATGTGTTTATTTGTGATATAAAGTTCTGTTTGAATGATTAGTTTAAGTTGAAATAAAAACGGATTCCAACTTGATCTCGTCAACTAATTACAAACAACCATTAGCTAAGTAAACAGTCTGTAACTTGTTAGAGACATTTTAATAAAAGCTGTATCTCCATAGAGAAATCAGTGTTGTAATACTAAAAAAACTCACTTGTTGAGGCTTTCAAGGTAGACGATATAGAATGCTTTCGCTGTGTATTCTATGACCAATAATTGAAGGGATCGAAATCTAAATAAGTAATGTAACTGTTTGTGATCGGACAAATATTAAGCGAATATAATGAGTTACAGATAGTAACTCCAATTTAAGCTGTGTTGGATGTGGTGTTTGTATGAACTAACGAATCCTTTGTAGTTGAGGACTGTTTGATTTCGTATTCCAAATACAATATGTTCGTTAGTGCTCATCTAATACTTCTTGCTTACATTGCGTTATTTCTAAGATTCTTGGTTTGCACTATAATTCAAATACTCGTAATTATCGAAACTGGCATCGCGATGGAGTCTGTGATGGAACAGTTGGACATTCATTCAACTTATGAAACTTTTGAGGATTATTTTTAAAATTTTGGAATCTGGAGAATGATCAAGAAAAACGTTAAGGGTGATAAAATTTTGCCACATTTCATTACATTTTATCGGAAAAGAAGCCTACAGTTTATTAAGAACGTTGACATATTCAGAAAACCCTGTCTCACTTCATCATACAACGCTTAAGGAACTATTATTAAATCATGTAAAGTGTACCAGTTTTGAATGTCGTGAGGGAACAAAATGAGCAAAAAGGTATTAGATCCATCCTTGAATTGAAAAGACAAGCTGCCAAGTGTAATTTTGGTGATCAACTTCATGTGCATCTGAAGGATCGACTAATTGTAGGAATTAACATACCGGGTATGTAAAGAGAGCTGGTAAGAATGCCGAACTGTTCCATTCAAGACGCTAGAACTGCATGTACTAACTACAAAGCAGTGAATGAACTTGATATCCAGTCGATGAATATTTCAAATACTTTACTCATTCGTCATGATGAAACACAATCTCAGGGTCGGACAAACCTGCGTTCGTTTAATAGTGATTCCAATTTTCGTGAAAATATGAAAGGTGATTCAACAAGTAATCGCAAAGCAAGTTTGGTAAATGTTTATCCTGTGGCAAATTTCATCCTCGTAATTCATGTGCATTTCGTAATGCAAAATGTTTTAAATGTGGTAAGATAGGATACATTCAGTCGTATACACAACTACTGTTCATTTTGCTTCAAGTAGTACTAAATCTTGTAATTCAGATCCCAACAGTTCGGCTGTTCCTAACGATCATTTATCTTTATCCACCATTTCGAACAGTAATCCTCATATTCAAAAGTGATTATATGCATCCCTCGGTTCATTTCATCCACTGAATTCACAATATTGGGGATTACTGGACACAGACTGCTCATACGATGATGCTGTGAATTGCTAATATAAGTTGATAATTCTTCATACCTGCCTTCTGAATGTTTAGTTAGC